AACTTGGAATCTGCGTCAGCCATCCTTGTCACTGGAATTGCAGGTGTGTGCCACTGTAYCTGGCAACCTTCTTATATTTAGCRCTCTGATAATTCTTAACRAAAGGTTTCATTAGTCTTTTTCCAGATTCATTCATATGACCTTTAATTTAAATTAAGTCCATCTAGTGCACATAGAATGGTCCCTGTCCTATATTGTATCAGATGGAATTAGAAATGCAAATAAAGAACAAAGTACTGAGYCCACTTTTATGAAATTTCAATCTCAGTGGGATTTCTATACTTCATCTGATTTTTTTTTTGGGGGGGGGTACTTGGGATTGGACCCAGCCCAATTTATGTTTTTATTTTTAAGACAGGGTCTCATTAAATTTCTTAGGGCCTCATTAAGTTACTGAGGCAGACCTTGAACTTTTGATCCTCYTGCCTTAGCCTCCTGAATTGCTGGGATTACAGGCTCGTACCACTGTTCAGGCCCAGACTGAAAAATCTTATCCTATTAAAGAAACCACTACTAGGAGTTGCTCTTTGGAAGGTAACATTATTCGTTTAGGATAGTACTCTAATAAATACTAGGAAGTAGAATATGAGAACACCAAGAAATCCAGGTGAATGTTGGAGGCTCTGTAGGAAAAAAAGGGGAGGATATTGCTCATTCAGAAATAGGAACAGAAAGCAAAGCTCTGAGCCCATCAGATGGTAAAAGCATTCTGGTTCACATTAGAATCTGCTCCCTGTGATACTTCAAATCTTCAGTAGAGAATTTAAACCCACAAAATTTCTGAGGTAGGGTTTTTTGGTTTTGCTTTTGTTTGGTGTGGAAACCGATGTAGGGACTGAACMTTGCACCCAAGCTTGCATAGAGCAGAACAAGTGGAGCTACAGAAGCAAAGACTTAGAGGATCATGAAGAAATGGCTCTCAGAAACTATGGACAGCTGATCTCAACAAGCTAGAAAAGCAGCATTTTKCCACACTTGTGGCTTTTGCTAGGAGCATAGAGTCCCTGACATTTAGTTTCCATATAAATATCATAATTAGAGAATAGCACCAAGTGGATGGGCACCAAGTGCAGAAACACTTTGGCCTGTTATTCAGGTAGGGAAACTAAGTCATAAGCAAYGGATGAGATGGAACTGAGGTATTTGTACATCAGTGAAGAGACTCCTTTGGACTTGAGATCAAACYTATCTCTCCACCCTTCCAATCAGCCAACAGGAATTTACTGAGGACTTGTTATGGTTTGGTTTTGTTTGTGTATGTGTATATTGGTTTTGTTGGCAGAACCCAGGGGTACTGTACCATGGAGATACATCTCCCAGCCCTTTTAATTGTTTGTTTTGAGACAGGGTCTCACAAATTGCCCAGGGCCTGTCTCATACTCCCAAGTATCTCTATCCATCTCTCCCTCCCCCACCCTCTCTTTCTCTCTTTGGTACAAGGGATTGAACCCAGGGGCACTTAGCCACTGGGCCACAACCCCAGCCCTTTTTGTATTTTATTTTGAGACAATCACACTAAATTGCTGAGACTAGCTTTGAACTTGGGATCCTCCTGCCTCAGCCTCTTGAGCTGCTGGGATTACAGGTGTGAGCCACTGTACTTTACCGGAGTCTCTTGATTACAGGTACATACATACCACTGTGCCTGSTTTTGAGGACTTATTTTGTACCAGTACTGAGAAAATTGCAAAAGACRTACTGTATAAGAGTTGGTCTCTGGCCTCTAAGAACCGAACAGCTAGTTAGGGAATTGATGATTACGGAAGTAGTTGATATTTAATTAACCAGGTGATGGATTCCAGGTATCACCCGGCATGTTCCACGCATCACTGTCCTGATTCATCAGAACAACTCTGCAAGCTGAATATCATTATTATCATTTTACTGATGAGAAAACTAAGGCCCCAGAGGCTAGAACGGCTTACGTGAGGCACAGAGCTATGAAGTGGTACACAAAGAATTTGAGTCCATCTGTCCAGCTCCAAATGCCATCACGGAAAGGGGTCTCCATGGCAAAGATAACRTTGCCAAAACACAGATGCTGAAGGAGCCCAGTGCAGAGGGAAGAATGAAGAGGACAGGGTGGCCAGGGAAGGAGATWCAGAGGACGTAAGCGTGATCTGAGCTTTGAGGCTGGGCAGGCATGGTGGACAGCCAAGGTGCTTCAGGAAGGAGAACTATGGAGTGCAGTATGGGACCAGGAGTGGGCRCCTGTTAGATGGAGGATGGTGAAGGGATAGATTGACTTTAGGCTCAAGAGGTCTCCCAAGCATCAGAGCCTACCACCGCTTTTCTAGTGGGGATCCCATCCCCAGAGACTAACTCAAAATCTACAAAATCTGCAGCTCTCACCTCACCCCGTTTGGCCACCAACTTTTKCTGGGGCTCTAGGTACACTAGTCTGAGTCTGTTTTCCCAACATAAAATTGGTGAAACGAACACAGTGTGTACTTCTTTCAGTTTTGTTTTTAAAAACCTATGGTTCTGTAACTTAAACCCCCAAATATATTCATATTTATATCCAAAGACTGGAGGAAAAACTAGTTGATGAACTATCTTTCAAGAACATGGTCAGATCATCTTTCAGACATGGCTTTGCTGCCAGAGGCTGATCTTTTTTTTGTTTGTTTGTTTGTTTGTTTTTGGTCATAGGACAAAAGTAGCAGATTGATTTTGGATCAATGAGATCCTGGAAAAGACAGAGAGGGCTGGAGGGCTGGTATTTTCATGTCTTCAGAGCCTGGCAATGTGTCTATTACTGTCGGTCTATGTGTGGAGGAGGGTGGGGGACAGAACTGAGAGCAGGAGACCCCAGGGGAGAGCAGAAAGGCTGAGCTGGCAGGCAATCCTTAGAAGCATCCCCTTGTAGGTTGTTCTTGGTTTTTGATCTCAAGTGAAGTTTAGGAGAAATATTAACTTTTAAAACACTGTAAGTGGTTCAGGGGTTGGTTTTCAAACTAACTGCTGTTTTAGAAGTTCCCAAAATACATACAATAGAAAAAGAAAGAGGAAATAGTCTCAGAATAGTAAATGCTACTATAACAATTTTGCTAGGTCAGTTCTCTGGGCTGATGAAAGAAGCTTGGGCCGCTGGCTCTGCTTCTTATCTTAGTACTGGGGAGGTTTCTCCGTGGGTCCCTGGTGTGGACAGCGTAAGCCCTGAACCAAGGATACCCTCTCTCTGACACATACACACCTCCCAGCACTGAGGGTTCTCAGTCACCATAAACCAGTCAGAGTGACTTTTCAGAGTGGAACAGCTCACAGGATACCTAGGGCCTCAGCAGTGATTCCAAATCTCATGCTTTAGACATAAATCAGAAGTCTTCTTAGAACTTTCTGTTTACCCCTAAACTCTTTGATCAAATCATATGACTGTTGAAGTTGGTATTTGGCATGTATTATGTTTAATTTGGGGAAGAGAATCTGTAACCGAGTTTTTCACCAGTCAGTTCAATGAGATACCTGGAGATGACTTGATGTATGAAAAGCCCAGGAAGAAAAGAATCTTTTCAAACCCAGAAGGAAAGTTCTGGGTAGCTATTGGCTGGAGGCCCTATTGGATCTTGGTGTGATGCCATTTATCAATTCAATGAGATCTCAGTCTATATTTTGGCCAGTTCTGTCAACACCTGACTTGTTCTGTAATGACTCAGTTCCTTTGTAACCTACCTCTTCCTTCCTTTCTGTGTCTTCCCAACAAATCCCTCACAGGTTCGGGACAAAAAGCAGGCTTGTTCCACAATCATCCTTAAAAGTCACCCTTATCCATTCACATTAACACCTGGTGTTTGTGCTATTCAGAAGTTTAGTGCTATTACATGGACGCATATTGCTTTAGGTCGACCCCCACTGTTCATCACCCTGGTGTAACTCTGTCTTTAGCAGGCAGCTGTACTTCTACTCCTAGACCAAGTTCTAGTTCTTGAGGTTCTCCATGCCTGCTTCCCCATCCATAAAATGGGAATAATGAGAGTATCTACCCTGTAATATTATTGTGATAATCACATACATCAGTACACAAATGCACACCAGCACAAACATCTGACCAATTGTATGCACTTAATAACTGCCTAATATTACTGAACTGTATGTTTTATCTACTGGGGCAGGAGGTCTCATCCACTAGTTTCCAAAGTGTTGCTCCTGGTTTCAAAAGGATTTGGTAAAGTGGCTAATGGAGAGAAAGTTATAAAGCTGACTCTCTGATTTGGGGCCTGGCTGAGCCTGGCTAATTTTAAACATGACAGTAAGTGAGAGGAAAAACGACATGCTTTTCTTCTAGTTCAGGTCTGGTGAGTTCAACATAGTTATTTGCATTAAAGGACAATAATAGTACTGTTGTGTTTATTTTTTAAAATAAAGAGCAGATTTTTTTTTTCTTCTCCCAGTGTCTCATGAGAATGGTGTGAGGGCATGGGGATAGCATGCGGAACGAGCAAAAGTTCTTTTTGACCCAAAATGGATAGGGGACTCATTAGAAATTTAAAAATAGAAAAGGGGCAGAGATAAAGATACGTTTCATTTTAGACATGGTAAATTGAAGAGGAAATGAAGCATTTTAATAGAAAAATAATCTATGGAAATTAGGAATACGGAAAGTCAAGTATAGTGAATGAAATTAGGGTAAGAAAACAAGGAAATCTTCAGTGGTCTAAAGCTGACCTTTAAAAATCTAGTAAACAAAGCAGGGTAGGCAGCAACCCCTGTAATCCCGGCGAGGCAGCAGGATCACAAGTTTGAGGCCCATCTCAGCAACCTAGCAAGGCCCAAAAGAGCAACTTGGTGAGACTCTGTCTCAAAATAATAAATAGTAGTTCCGTGACAAAATGCCTATGAGTTCAATATCAGGAAAAACAAACTACCAACAACCACAACAAAAACCCATAAATGAATAACTCCTCTTGGAACAGAACAGAAAGCCCAGTCTTCCCACTGGGTCGTGGGATGTTTTTAAACTTGCAATGCTTTTGAGATTGCCCTTTTGAATTTTTTTTCAGACTCAAGACAATGGGGACTGTTTGCTGGACTGTTGCTAGGGGGCATCGTGGGCGTCATCATGACTATTGAAGTGGTAATCCTCCTGTGGAGAAGAAGAGGTAGGTGTCTGGACAGTAGAGAGATTCTTAGGAGACTCTTAGGTAAGCAGAGGACCTCTCCCCACAAGCCTAGACTTGCTCTCGCCACTGCAGCGTTCTATGGGGAGCCACTTTTGAAAAATACTCAATAAACATCTCCTGGGACCTTGCTCAGTTCCATCGAATTCAACATGTCTTGATCCTCCATACCAACCTCTGGGAATAATAGAGAAAAGCGCCAGAGGTGTGTAATGTGGGAAACATTATGCAATTTCTACTCAGTGGAGATATGCCCAGCAATGCTGAAGGGGTCCAGAAGAGAGGCTTGACAGTATTCATTAGGGAGGAGAATTCAGAGAATTCTTGGATCTCCTACAAAATTTTTCCCAGGATAAACCAGGTGCAGTGGCTCACACCTGTAATCCCAGTGACTCGGGAGGCTGAAGCAGGAAGATGGCCAGTCTGGGGAAATTATCCAAAAAATACAATAAATAAAATAAAATAAAATAATAAAATAAAATAAAAAATTAAATTAAATTTAAAAAATTTAAAAAAAAACTATAAAAGACTGGAGATGTAGCTCAGTGGTAGAGTGTCTTTGAGTTCAATCCCTAGTACCAAAAAAAAAAAAAAAAAAAAATTCCCAGGATAGACTGAAATCAGTAAGGCTCGATTATTTTTCTGTAGTTTAAGTGTTAACAGGTATTCTCTCCTGGCCACTCCTGCAAATTATCTTATGACTCAATACCTCAGAGCAGTGTGTTTCCCTAGGCCACACTGTCACCGACCCACACTGGAACCAGAATATCCTGCCGTGAGACCAGGACAAATGTCCTGCCTGGCCCTCCCGTGCTCATATCACCAATGCAGCCAGTGATGGATCCCATTCTCAAGCAGATCAATGTTATCCACATAACAATCTTCTTAGAAAAGCCCTTACCTCAGCAATCTGATGTTGGTTTTGCTTATAAAAAAAAAAAATCTAGATCACAGCACATCTGCCTACTTTTTCTCATTTCCTCCATCTAAGACTTGGCTGGGGAGGCAATGGGGGAGGAGGAGTGGGTGATTCAGAGAGAAATTCTGTTGAGAACCTAAGGTATGGGGGTGGGGCAACCACATGTGGCTTCTATTATAAGGAAACAATGAGATACTAGGGATGAGAAAACCGAGATGAACTCACCCATTAACCTAGTTAGCAAAGGTGCTGGGATTCAGACCCCTGCTTTCCTCAAACACATTCTACTCATCACTTGCTTGAGCTCTGAAGAAAACAGTGCTTCCCAGCCCACCACATCTCTGCCAACCAACACACCCATCCTCATCTCCAGTCACTATTTATTCCTTGTAAACACAAAAGTCAGCTTCAAACTGGTGTTCAAACCTACAGTTAGTTGCTATACCCTCCACAAAACTGCAGCTTCTAATAGTATCATCTAATGGCATCTTCTAATGGTATCGTCTCCAGAATGCAGCCTAATTCTGAAGAGGATCAAATGGACTCTCTGGTAATTTCAGCTCCAGGAAAATACACTGGCTACCAACATAGGCTTTGGCTTTAGACAAACTTACATTCAAATGTGGACTTTGCTACTGATGAGCCGTGTAAACCAAGCAAATGACTCATGGCTTATCTGCAAAATGGGGTTAATGTTATGTACTTCATGGTATTGTGGTGTTGATTGTTAAGTCAATAGGCAGGAAATACCAAACACAGTGGCTTCCAAGAGTACATACATACATACATGCATACACACACACACACACACACACAAATAAATCTCTTGATGTACATGAGTTAAAACATTAGTGTTTAAGTTCCATTGCCATCTGAGGGCTGCATCGGAAGAATCTAAAAGTAGTTCTTAGAGGGCTGGGGATGTAGCTCAGTGGTAGAGCACTTGCCTAGCATGTATGAGGCCCTGGGTTCTATCCCCAGCAACACACACACACACACACACACACACACACACACAAATAGTACTGATAGCAAGTTTAAAATACTTGAAATCATGGTAACATAGGACACTTTTCTGCTTCAGGTAGAGCTGAAAAGGACATTTTGTGCAACGTGTCACATAGCTAATGACTAGAATAAGATGCCCCAATTCTAAGATCAAGACCTCTTTCATTAGATCCTAAGACCTTGCTGGCTTTGAGCCCAAGTTGAACTGGCTCCTGAAAACCTGCTCTGGCACTGGGATGGGGGACGGGAATCAGAGACTAAATTATATTGAGCCCGTGGTGGGTTTTTTGGTTGTTTTGTTTTTTTGTTTGTTTTTTGTTTTTTGGTTTTTTGTTTTGTTTTGTTTTGTTGAGTCAGCTGCTCTTTTTTCACTTGTTTGACCATTTAGGACTGAATTCTCCAATTCAAAATTTCATCCTGAGCTGACCTAAAAGATTGAAAGTCTGTGAGGACTGGAACCTTCTCTCCTCGTATCCCCCAGGATACAGCTCAGGACAGTGCTAGGCAGCCGTACCTAACTTTGCAAACACTCATGTATTTGAACCAAAAGGATATATTTCACAGATCTGCCTTGCATCCATCCTTCCACTACTCCAACTGATTCTGGTCACCCCCCAGCATTACCCTCTATTTCACTCTCTTGTTCTCTGACAACAGTGAAGTTGGAGCCATGCCATGCCCATGCGCACACAGGAAAATCATGCACTGACTTCTTTTGAATTCCTTGAAATTTCTCTGGGGCTGCCCACCATTTCCTTCCCCAAATTCACACCATCGTGCAGCACATTCCACCACATTCACAACACACACACTGGGACTTCCCCTCTCAGATAAAAGTGGACTTCTCCTCTGAGCCAATCTCTCAGAAACACGCTCAAGAGGATAAATTCATCAGTGTTAAAAATATGTTTACCAGAAAGAGTATGATTTTCTCTGGGCCAAGCCCCTTTATTACCTCTGCCTGGATTTTATAATACTACCCTAAAAGTCCTCTGTGCTTCAGTCTGTGAGTTTCCCACCATTCTCAGTTCTGCCTGATATATGCAAATGATAAGCCACGTTCAAACGAATAAGGACAGGCACAGTGGCACACGCCTGTGACCCCAGTAACTCAGGAGGCTGAGGCCAGAGGATCACAGATTCAAAGCCAGCCTGGGAAACTTAGCAAGACTCAGTCTCAAAAGAAAATAATTAAAAGGTCTGAGATGTAGTTCAGTAGCACAACACTCCAGGATACTGAAAACACTTTTAAGTAAAGAGGTTAAGTTATAGAGAAAACATGTATGACAAACATTTGTGTAAAACGAACAAACAAAAACTACATAAATATAGCAAATGTCCAGAACTACACTGTTCAATAGTCACATGTAGCTAATAATATTTATTTATTATTTCTTTTTGAGACAGGGGCTCCCTATGTTGCCCAGACTAGTCTGGACCAAACTCAGGCTCAAGCAATCAGCCTGCCACCTCACGAGTTAATTTAATTTGACTTAAATAAGATATAAAATAGAGTTTTCCAGTTGCATTAGTCACATTTCAAGTGCTCAGTTGCCACTTAGGGCTACTGCCTGTATTAGACTGTGCAATTCCGGAACATTTCCATCATCACAGAAAGTACCATATTGCACAGAGCTGGTCTAGAAGGGCATACATCAAACTTTTAAAAGTGGTCACTTCTGGGAATGAAACTGGGTTGATTAGGGAGAGGGACTTTACTTTTTACACTATACAATTTCTATGTAATTTAATGTTTTGTAATGAGAGTGGATTACTCATAATTTTAAAAGAAAACTTCCTAAATTGGTTAAAAAGTAACATTTGAAAGTGATTAATTTACAGAGAATCTAGGTCCTGAGCAAACTTTCCAGATGGAGAGAGTAGAATGACTGTACAATTATATTTTCCAAACAGTCCCAGGTAGACCATCCTTCTATAGTATCACCCTTCACATCCACACATACACCCTCCACATACACACATCCTCTAGAAATACGTCAGCAAGCTGTGAGTGAAGCAGCATCTACCAGCTGGAGGAAACAAAAGAGGTATAAATAAACCTGCCCTGACATCAAAGAACTTAGAATCCTATCAGAAGAGCAGATAGGCCCATAAATGATGGACATTATAATAATTAAATGGCACACCAATGAGAACTCTACTGAACACTTATTGGGCATTTACTGTGTGCTGGGCCCTGTTCTAAGAACTTTATAAGAATATTTCATAATGACCACAATAGGCCCCATGAGGCAGGTATTTCAAATTTCATTTTTCAGGTAGGGAAAGAGGCCTAGAGAGATCAAGAAACGAACCCAGCATCCTATGACACATGTTCAGGGGGGCTTGGGACTCGGTACCTTGTTCTTATGGTAGCCTGGGGAAAGGTGAGTTTCACTGGGAAGTAAAGACCAGACAGTTCTGAGCAGGGCTGGGGACTGGGGAAGTAACCACTCTGGTTTCTTTTCCCCCAGGTAACAAAAACCATTACCAACCAGCCGCGGAAGAAAAAAGCCTTACTATCTACGCCCAAGTCCAGAAAGCAGGTGTAAGTTCTCTACTTTCCTTGGGAGGGACCTGCCATGTTTCCCACAGGATTCCTGGCCAGTCCACCTTGCGTGTCTGACATTCATGGCTCTGCGTGGATTATACAGCAGATGAGATTAGGGAACGATAGGTCAAGAACCAGAGCTCTCCTGGAGGTCACTAAACCAGTGTCACATGGGGCTGTTTATTATTTGAAATAGTGGGAAACACTGGGTGATCTTCTGGTCATCTACTTCTTCCTAAGAAAACAATGAGCAAGCTGTGAACATATGACATGTGACTCCTTCCAACTCGGGCCTGCTAGGAGTGCAGAGTTCTCCGTTACCAAACTCTCCTTCTCTGGGGAAAAGGGTGCAGGTTTGAGAGGAGGAGAGGGGATGGTTTGGAAAGGCTATGGCGTGACCTGTTGAACTGACCCAAGTTTAGGAAGACAGCAAAAGGGATAGGGAAGGGAGGATCTCGAGGACTCTGGCTAAGAGTGTGGTTGAAGTGAAAGATGCTGGGAAGATTGGAGATGGAAGAAAGCAAAACTGGCAGTGTTGATCACAGGACTAAGAAGAAAATGATGGGGAAATTGAGACACGATGGAATTTGGGGAGCAGATACCACTGGATATAAGAGGGAGGGAGGCTGCAAGGACTGTGGTCAAATGTGGAGCCATTGTGGTTTTTCAGACGTGAAATCAATTCTAGGTGATTTATAAGCCAAAAGCAGGACTTTTGGGGGGGTGGAGGAGGGAAGCAAATTCTGGAGTAAAATATGTGAAGATAAAGACAACTTTGATTAGTACTTTGGAAAATTGCATCCGATGACAATAAATTCCTTTCTGACGACCAGGAGACAGATTCTTGGACAGAGCTCTTACTTCTGCTATGTCCTAGTGATCTGGAGGCTTTATTACACTTGCTGAAAACAAATCTCCGTTTAAACATAAGCAAGTCCCAAGAGTAACCGCCTTATCTCTTGCATTTGCACGTGTGGGTCACTAGGTCCATCCTCACCGTAGTGTTTTCCTAGCTACTACCTCCTATGCGAGAGCTAGCATCCTTTTTGACTGAAGCCTGCCATGCATACCAAAAAAAAAGGGTACAACACGTAAATGTCAGCTTAGTGAGTGCCCTTAAATGTCTTCTTGACAGCTGGGAAAATAGGTCACCCCCATCTTGGTTTTCTTCATGAGGTTTTGGCTATTCTTTTCCTTTTATACTTTTATGTGTATTTTAGAATCAGAGACAGTTTCTTAAGTACGACAAAAAAAAAAAAAATCCTACTAGGATTGCATCGAATCCACCCACCTATTTGACCAGAAATGGCATTTTTCTGCATTGGTCTGTCATAAAACCACAACCCCACATACCCAAAACAAGAAATAGAAAGAACATCGCCAGTACCTCTAGAAGACCTCCCTCTGTCTTGCCCCAAGATAACCACCATCCTGACTTCTAGAGATATGGTTCATTTTTTTTTCTTTTTTAACTTTTACAAATAATCCTCGATGCTTTTTTCTTTCTTTCATTTGTTCTTTTTGTTTGTTGGTTTGCTGGATATTCCCTTTAAACTGAGATATAATGCATTCATTTCTTTGCTGTATAGACTCTCAATGTCTAAATGTAGTAAAGTTTTTTATCCAGTTGACTATTGATGAACAGCATTTGGCTTATCTAGAGCTGGAGGTCATTATGAAAATTGCAACGACGGACATTCATACACTTGTGTTCTGGTGGATATGTGCTCATATTTTTGTCAAGCACATACCTAAAAGCAGAATTTCTGAATGATGGGCTATGCATTCCTCAGAATGACTGGAAAGACCCAATTAATCTTCAAAGTAGGCATATCAATTTACTTATCTATAAATGGATTTCAGTTGCTGCACATGCTAAGAAAAATTAGAATCAGTTTCAAATTTTAGACATACTGTTGGATGTGTCTTCTTTGGTCTCATTTTGCATTTCTTTGATTAGTAAAGAAGTTAAACAACTTTTTATTGGCCATACGAAAACCTTTTTTCTTAAAGTGGCTATTAAATCTCTTGTCCATTTACCTTTGTTTGTTTTAGGCTTTTTAAATGAATTAATATAGCTTGATTTTAATATTTTGGATATGAGCTCTTTGGCAGCTATRCTAGTAGCATCTGTGACTTGCTTTTAAAAATTTCTCAGAGCTATCTATTGATAAAGAGAAGTTCTTAATTTCAGCATAGAACAATTTAGTAATCTCTTCCTTAAGAGTTAACACTTTCTGTGTCCAGAGAAATCTCTCTTGATTCCCAGGTAATGAAAAGATTCTTCTATCATCTTCCAAAATCTGTATGGTTTCTCTTTCACATTTATATTTTTTATAAACCTGARAATGACTTTTGGAGTTTGGTATAAAAGGGGTCAGGTTTTATTCTTTTTCCATGTGAATATCCTACTAACTGTTTACTGAAAAGATTGTCCTTGCCCCTCTGCTGGTTCATCCTTATCATAACTCAGGGTGATTCTACTTTATTTTTGGTACTGAGGATTCAACTCAGGGGCATTTGACCACTGAGCCACATTCCCAGCCCTATTTTGTATTTTATTTAGAGACAGGGTCTCACTGAGATGCTTAGTGCCTTGCTTTTGCTGAGGCTGGCTTGGAACTCTCAATCCTCCTGCCTCMGCCTCCCGCTGGGATTAGAGACATGAGCTGTCGCGTCCAGCTCTGTGTAATTCTATTTTAAAGTGCTATATYCCATCCTATTGATGTATTTGTATATACTTCTACCAGTGCTCTACCATCTTCATTTTAGATGTATTATAAATTTTGACATCTGGTCAAAAGAATCTTCCCACTTGTTCTTTTTCTTGACCATTATTRTATTTATTTCAAAAGCAGTTGTTAAACTCACCCTCTCCAGACCTTACTAGAATTTTAATTAGAATTGCATGGCGGGGAGGGGGTTTGTGGCTCAGYAGCGGAGCGCTCACCTAGCACAGGTGAGGCCCTGGGTTCGATCCTCAGCACCAYATAAAAATAAATAAATAAAATAAAGATATTGTGCCCAACTACAACTAAAAAATAAATATTTTTTAAAAAGAATTGCATAGACCCATTTGAGGATGAACTACATTTTTATTGTAATGAGTCTTTTAATTCACAAAAATTGACAGTTCCTTCCTTTCTTTAATTTCCCTAAATGATGTTTTATAGTTTTCTGAGTAAGGAACTTTACGTCCTTAATAATTTATTACTTGGAATTTGATATTTTGGGATACTTTCAACAATGCTCTCTTTTTCAAAAGGCTTAGTTTCTAGTAATTTATTATCGACATATAAAAATACAATCGTTCTTTTTACATTTACCTTATATCTCACATTGCTAAACCCATTTGTAAGTTCTAGAAATTTGTCTATAGATGTTTCCGTTTTCTCTGTAAAATACTGCATCATCTGTAAAATTAGTCTGATTTGTTCATTTACAAATCAGAGAACTTCTCTTCCTTTCTCTTRCCTTATTTTACTTGCTGAGATGTGCCACATGGTAGTGAATGGAAGTGGTAAGAGTGACATCCTTGTGTGGTTCCAAATTCAAAAAGAAAGTTTTGTTGGGTGCAGTGGTGCACACCTATAATCCTAGTGGCTTGGGAGGCTGAGGCAGGAGGATTGCAAGTTCAAAGCCAACCTCAGTAACTTAGCTTAGTCCCTAAGCAATTTAGCAAGACCCTGTCTCAAAACAAAAAATAAAAAAGGCTGGGGATGCGGCTTAGTGGTTAAGTTCACCCCCTGGTACCAGGGGGGGGAAAAAAAACTTTCAATATCTCTCAATTATGATTTCTGCTGAGGTTTTCAGTAGTGGTCCTTTGACCACATTAGGAAGAGTGTGAGGGGCTGGGGCRGTAGCTCAGTGGTAGAGTGTCTGCCTTGCATGTGTCAGGCACTGGGTTCAATCCTCAGCACCACATCAAAATAAATAATAAATTTTAAAAAAATAGAAGAGTGTGAGCTGGGGGTAAAGGTCCAGTGATACAGAGCATCTGCCTAGCAAGTGGGAGGCCCTGGGCTCAGCCCAGCACTGAAAAACAAAATACAATAACAAACAAACACAAAAGGACTATTCYATTCTTGTTTCACTTAGACACTTGACCACGAATTGATGTTGAATTTTACCAACACTCTCTGTGTCTGTTGAGATAATCTTACGGTTATTCTTGTTGATTTTCACTTATCTGATGTGACAGCATACTGATCTGCAAAAGTCAAACCCACTTTGAATTCCTGGAATAGAAGCAATTTAGTCTGGTTCTTTTAAAATATTGCTGGATATTATAGGTTAGTACTCTTTTTTTTTTTTTTCCTGCTTACGTTTCTGAGTGAAATGGGCCTGTAAGTCTCCTTTCTTGGAATGCATTTATGAAGTGTCTGGTATCAAGATAGTGCTAACCACGCAAAATGAGTTGGGGTGTATGTTAGTTTCCTGTGGGTGCCATACAAATCACCACAAACCTGATGGCTTAAAACAACAGAATATTCCCCAACAGCTCTGCAAGCCAGAAGTCTAAAATCAAGGGGACAAACTGGCGGGAACCAAACGTGCGCTGAATGCTCTCTGGGAGAAACCTCTTTACCTCTGTTGGCATCTGGCAGCCTCAGGCAGTGTCTGGAGTCTGTTGGGTTGGGGCTTCATTGCTACAATTTCTACCCCCTTCTTCACATGACTCTTCCCTGTCTGTGCCTTTACCACCTTCAAAAGACACACATCAGTAGATTTAGGGCACATTCCAATCCAGTGTGACCTCATTTTGAAGTTCTTACCTTAATTACATTTGCTAGGACTTCTATTCCAAACAGAGTCACATTCCAAGACTCTGGGTGAACAAGACTTTTTTCTTTCTTTTTTTTTTTTCTTAATTGTAGATGGACAGGATGGCTTTATTATATTTGTTTATTTTTATGTGGTGCTAAGGATTTAATTCAGTGCCTCACACAGGCTAGGCAAGCGCTCTACCACTGAGCTACAGCCCCAGCCTTGAACATATCTTTTCAGGGTCACAATTCAACTCACTACAGGGTATTTTTCATTTTAGTGATTCTCTGGAAATGTTTGGGTAGGACTGATCTTCTTTTTCTCCTTAAGTATTTAGTCGGATTTACTGGTGAAGGTCTCTGAGCCTGRCATTTCTTTGRTGGAGGACYTTAAAAGTWATWCTTWTATTATTCCATTCTCTCCTCTATTACATTAGCAATTAAATAATATTTTTTCTGTTATTTTAGTGGCTACATTAGAAATTACAAATGCATCCCTATWATTACTGAAGTTTAATATTTACTCCCTTTATATTATTTTAATTTCATATTTTTAAACATACAAAACATAATTTTTGAATCATAATCATTGTTGTTTTGTATGTTAATATGTACTTAGAATTACCCACATCCTTATGTTTCCTGTGTTTATATTTTCAATGTTTATTTTATCATTATAAAAGATATAACATAGACAGTTACTCAACATTAACATTTATTTTTGTTCTTATTTGTAATTGCTTTACATTATCCTTACAAAAATACAATTGCATGGAAAATTATTTAGYCAGTGTTTACTATCTGCTGGGAACYCTCCTAGGACTTATCAGGGCAACTGTCTTAAGTAATTAATTCCAGGGGACACCTAAGAATATGTGGAAATAATGCTCCTGGGGTTGCTTGATTTGATGCCCCCCCAGAGATGTGCAAATCAGTGACCCTAACGTAAGACATTGAGTTAAAAAAATGTTCTTAGTATATTTAAGATAACTTCCTGTGCCTAGATAAAATTACCAAAGGGAAATCTAACAATTGTTCCAATAGGGCTGTGGGTGATTTTTCAAATACATCTTCCTTCTTTCTAAAACTTCTTAATTAAATGCTAAACACATAAGTTATTTACCTCCTCCTTTCTGCTGTTAATTATTACTAAACTCACAGACAGGAAGACAGGCAGGGATTACTTTTATGGATAAAAGTCACTAAATAAATTGTTTTTATTTTCTCTTCATTCATCTCAAAGCTTCCAGAAATTCTTCCTTAAATGCAAATTTGCTCTTAAATGTACTAAGAATTATATAGAAACTTGAAAGCMATCTATATGACCATCTACTTTCTGCTTGAATCATATTCCACAAACATTACTTCCAAAGTGTTAGCCAGCTCCATTGGAATTAAAGAGAGTCTGAATAAGCAGAGTCAGAGTTTCTGGAAACTTACCAGAAACGCAGAGTCTCAGGCCCCTAAGCCAGATCCTCTGAAACAGAACCAACCTTCTAACAAGATCCCAAGGTAATTCATAGGCACAGAGCAAGAGTGGGAAGCCCTGATCTAGCCCCTGCCCAAGCACCTGCAGCAATAAGGAATGCACTGCCTTCCAAGGCTCACCATCCCACATCTGAGCATCTTTTACTATTAAAAAATATTCTTTCTATTGGATCAAAATATTTCCTCCAAACCCGAGGGACTCTACTGACAAACCTAATTCCTCCACATGGTGATCCATCAAATATGTGTAGGAAAGATCATGTCCCACTTGAGTCTTCTTTCCTCCAGTTTCTTTACTCTTCCAGTTTCTTCCAATTTCTTTACTCTCCCCTTAGATGGCAAGATTCCAAGTTCTCTCCCATTCAACACATGCTATGGCTTCAAGTCTCGCTCTATATTCAGAGAAAGTTGGAGCAGCATTGGACCCTCACCAGGGTCCCCAAAATGTGCTGAGTAATGACTTCCCTACCAAAAGTTATGCCATTCCCATCTCACAGGGGTAGGATCTCAACTTATCCCTACACTGACTTGTCCTGGCATTGTGGATTTTATTTTATTGATTGATTTATCTGTTGCTACATTATAGCCATACACAGTAGTGGGATTCATTGTCACATATTTGCATAGRCCCATAACATAATTTGGTCAATTTCATTCCACTCAGGTATTATGGATTTTAATTCATTCAACATAATATCAGTGCAGTATAGTGGTGCATGCCTATAATCCTAGCAACTGGGGAGGCTGAAGGAAGAGGCTTGCAAGTTTGAGGCCAGTCTCAGGAACTTAGCAAGATCGGTCTCAATATAAAAACCTAAAGGGGTGGGGATGTAGCTCTGTGGCAAAGTAACCCTGGGTTCAATCTTGACTACTGAAAAAAAAAATTAATACCAACAAAGGCCAACTGAAGTTTTTGTTATTAGTTTGTTGTCGTTGTTGTTGTTTTGGGGTGTGTGTGTGTGTGTGTGTGTGTGTGTGTGTGTGTGATGTTCCCAGCACTGTTTTGTGGAGAATGCAAATAAACATAGGCTACTTCTCAAGGAACTTACGATCTGTTTGGGGAAATGACATACAAATACATCAGTATCTTAAATATAGCATTCAGTTGCCAGAATGTGTGAATGAAACTTTGGAATACCTGAGCAACTTAAGTAAAGGATAGGTCAKTATAAATTGAGGAAACCAAAGGAGAGTAGTGATAGAAAGAGAATGCTCTTGAAGTTAAAGACCTTGGTAGGCCTGGTGTGGTGCAGGCCTGTTAATCTCAGCGACTTGGGAAGCTGGGGCAGGAGGATTGCAAGTTAGAGGCCAGCTTCAGCAACTTAGTGAGACTCCTTTTCAAAATTAAAAAAAAAAAATGAAATGGACTGAGGGTATAACTCAGCACCCCTGGGTTCAATTCCTAGTACAAAAAAAAAAAAAAAAAAAAACCTTGGTAGGACTCCTCCTGGTTTTGATATTTCATGCATGTATTTATTAGGAAAGTACTTGATCTTCTTGCACTTTAGCTTCTTTATCAATATTTGGCATAGAAAGTGGTTGTGAGGCAAATGAAAAGACATACGTTAGGCTGAGGAATAGGGGGACAGCAGCGTGGGGTAGAACAAACTCTGCATGTGATGGCCTAATTCCTATCAGGAACGCATCCTCTTTGGCTGCCCCGTAAGAGACACGCCAATTTCAGTTCTCTATGGGGGAGACTTTAAAAGRCCACGGGTTGTGCTAAGGGAATGAGGATACCTCGGGAGGTTGTGAGCTCCGTTATGTCACTTGGGGGCTTCAAGCAAAGCCTAGAGAACTGGGTTCCAGGGAAGTTGGGGAGAGAATTCCCACCTRGAAAGGAGGTTGGACCAAGTGACTCTAAGTTTTCAACTTGAACTACTGGAGTGTGGGCTTCTCCRTGGGGGGCGTGGCATGGGGACGGACTCTGCACCCAGCTAACCTGCTTTCTTGGCCTCTTCTGCAGACTCTTCAGAGGAAACCTGACCCCCTGCCAGCCGAGGACCCCTGCACCACCATCTATGTGGCTGCCACAGAGCCAGTCCAGGTAAGAGAAGGCACCTCTTGGTGCCTCTCCACTGCAGAGAGGGAACAGGTCGAGAGGGGAAGGGGCGGGGAGCTGGTTTGGGCTTTGTTTTTCGGTGGTGACGAAATGGAACAGATGGGTGAGTCCTGAACTTGGAAGGTAGCCCATGGCAAGCAGTCAGCCAAGGGAGAGCTGTGACCTCGGTTCTAGGGCTTCCATGAAACCCCTTGCTCCTCCTTGTGACACGAACTGTGACTTACTCCTTGCACTAGTGTGTCTCTGAAAGTCGTGTAAAGACCCCATCAGAGCTAGCACACTTGTTAAAAATAAAGCTTCCTGGGGCCTCCCACCTAGAACTCTGTTAAATCAGAACATCGATGGAGATGACCCAGGGACTTACACATTTTAGAAAATATATATATATATCTTCTAGGTGATCCTTGTGCGAACTTAAGTTTAGGGGTTGGAGTCTGGGTCCAAGAGTTCTCAACTCCACCTGTAGAACAGAATCACCAGGGGAGCCTTGCAAAGCTGCTCCTGCCTTCTGTTGAACTCTGATGTGGCAGCCCATGAATAGGCAAATGTTAATCAAGAATGAAATTTCATAAAAAAAAAACTATCTTGGTGGAAATGCTCATGCCTAGACACTGTCTGCCCCATTTAATCAGAGTATTTAGGGCTGCCGCTCTGCATAGGCTTTAATAAACCCTAGAATAGAACAGGACACGAAACTAACCCGAGACTCACCTGCTCCATCCACCCCCTTGCAAGGTCGGCATGGATTGCACTTAACGTCTGACAGGATTCTCTCCCTCACTACATGAACAGAAAGAAATTCGGAGCCGAAATCTTGGCTCCAGTTGGGCTCTMCTGAAGTATTACAGGAGACAGAATGACAGAGGCACAAAGACACACATATTTCTACATTTCTCTCTCTTCTTCAAAGCTCTTCCTGCACATGCACCCAAACGTGCCCAGAGAGGTGCCCTGTTCCAAATAGATATTCCTCTTAAGATCTATTCTCAGTACACTGTCAAATCCAAGAGGGAAGTAAAAATATAAATTTGATTTAAAAGGCTTTGAAAAAAAAAGAACGTAGTTTTTTTTTTAATGAAAAATAAAGTATGTTGTATTTTATAGCAGAACCTCCTACATTGCCCCTTCSTTTCTCTTTCTTTCTGTGACTCTYCTTACCCTCTTGGGGGTTCTTTGCCCATAATCCTCTTCTCCCCTCCACCYTTCTCTCTTGCTGATACCACTTCTCCTATCACACTTTAGGTCTTGCTAGCCTTTAAAAAAAAAAAAAAACTATATTTTTAGTTGTTTCTAGACATTTATTTATTTATTTATTTACTTATTTATTTATGCTGAGAATTGAACCCAGTGCCTCACACATGCTAGGCAGGAGCTCTATCACTGAGCCACAACTGCTAGCCCTTTTTAAAGCTCACTAATSTAGAACTCTCTGGGCTTCTCCAAACTGTGCCCCATGCCTGCAAATGGTGTTCCTAATAAAGGAAGAGAAGAGAGCAGACGGAAAGGCAGGRCACTGAGTGCCTGTCCTCCGTTGACTGGGGAAAGGTCCCCCRGCTCTCTGATGACACGCTTATGCTTGGAAAGTGGGGCAGTGGTTTGGGGACCCAAGTGCTGCCTTCAGCAATGCCCTGTGGTAGACTCTGAGCAAATTGCTGTGCTCTGTGATCTCCTCCTCCCTTTTCTTTGTTCTAAGCGATGTTTCCAATCACCCCATCCCTCCACTCACAGCCTCCTGCTTTGCCCACAGGAACCAAATCCCATCACAGTCTATGCCAGTGTGACCCTTCCAGAGAGCTGACACCACAGACCCAGGGAAGAGACTTTCCGAAGGAAAACAGGAGTACCAAAGACAAAAACACTGAACTTGGCCCCCGGCCCTGAGACACTGTGCACATCTGTACCATGTTCGCATCCACGGTGTGGTGGTGTTTCTTCACCCAYGCCTGTGAGTCGGAGATGGAAGTGGGTCTTCCCAGGTGTTCAGCCTGCTCTGCAGCCAACGCAGACACAGAACTGAGAGCTGCTTGATACAGTTTTCCAGCGTTAGTGGAGAACGTGAGTCCAGACTTTCAGACTTCTCACTCGTCCCTGGGATGGACACTAAAATCCAAAAACAGAAAGCCAGGACATCTAGTGCCTGTCCCAGATGGCCAACCAACAGCCCCAAAGTCTGGACAAGTTTACACTTTGCTTGTTTGTCCTTTGTCCTGGGAACGGATCCAGATCACCTTCCAACCGGATCAAGGCTCTGAACCTCAGTTTCTCTCTCTGAAGAGTGAATTCTCTTATAGATAAAACACTCTAAGACTGCTCTATAAAAGAAGCTAAGAGATTTGATATTTTAGATGCAAAACCCAGGAGCTTAAAAAAAAAAGTCAATAAACTGAAAGAAAGACTTTAAGGTCTTGGAGCTTTGAACGGTAGAATGGAAACCTTCTAAGGTTTTTAAAAGTATGGTTTTGCACAAACAACATTCCGTTGTTGTTGTTGTTGTTGTTGTTGTTGTTGTCATTGTTTTTAAGTGTTGAGTGTCAGTGATTCTAATATAAAGTAACTTGAGATACTCAGAGGAACTTGTTTGTCCCAAGGAGATTTTTCACTTCCTAAAATGATTTTTTTGTTTGTTTATTGCTACTAGGGATGGAATCCAGGAGCAATTTAACAGAGCTAACTGAGCTACATTCCCACCCCTTATTTATGTTTTATTTTGAGATAGGGTCTTCCTTCATTGCTTAGGACCTCACTAAGTTGCTGAGGCCAGCCTCAACCTTGTAATCCTCTTGCCTCAGCCTCTCAAGCTACTGGGATCACAGGCATGCACCACCATATCTGCCTCTACAATGATTTTTTAATTGCTTTTATTTTTTAAATACATGCATGACAGCAGAATGCATCACAATTCTCATTACACATATGGAACACAATTTTTCATATCTCTGTATATAAAGTATGTTCACACCAATTCATGTCTTCATGCAAGTACTTTGGATAAGGATGTCCATCACATTCCACCACCATTGTCTAAAATGATTTTTAAATGATTTTTAAATACATGGATTCCTTAGTTTCTGTTTCCTCCCTTGAGTGACAAGTTGGGAGCCTCGGCTAAGACTCTCTGCTGGTTCTGAACCCATTTACATCCCAGGCCTCATATGAAGTTGGAGGTCAGAGTTACAACAGGGCACTTCCTACTTCCTGAATACCTCTTTTCTTACTAAATTTACCTTCAAGTGGAGAATTAAATTATTTTGACCCAACAGTTTCMAATAACTGGATGCTCAATCACTTCGATTCCTGGCTGCAAATGCAAAGAGCCTCTTTCAGTAAACTCCTGGTCTCTTCCTGTTCTCTCCTTTTAGACAGGCCACCTTTCAAATTAAGGGCTTCTTTTTCTTACGGGTTCTTGTACGACCTTGGTGAATAATTTAAGAAATAAATAAATGAATAACCAATCCTTGTTTCATTGTCTAACAAGGAGCACCAACTCCCCAGTGCAAAATTCTTTATGAAGTCTTTGTCTCTTACCTTCTCTGTTCAGCCAATTTACATTTGAGGATCGATCCGGTGCTCAGGGCCTCCCCTTTCCTGGTACCAACTTCTGTGATAGTTTCTTAGTTGTGATCAACACAAACTGACTTTTGTCTGTTTTATGTAGAAAAGGAACCTATTGAAAAGATATCAGTCAGTTCCAATAACTGCTGGGAGACTCTGCAAAACTATGCTTTGAAAGTGAGCAGGAAAAAGGGTCAGGACCATAGCCAAAATTATAAAGCCCCGGTCAGCTGTGGTGATGCACATCTGTAATCCCAACAACTCAGGAGGCTGAGGCAGGAGAGTCTCAAGTTCAAAGCCAGCCTGAGCAACCTAGAGACCCTGTCTCAAAGGAAAAAGGCTGGGATGTAGTTCAGTGGTAAAGCACCCCTGGGTTCAATCCCCCGTTCCAAACCAAGCCACACCAAATTAGTTCAGGGATGACCATCCTGAGCACCACAGTTTCATGGCCCCAAGTCCCCAGCACTAGACATTGGACTCTCAGGACTTAGAAACTCGGTATTGTTGTTCCTGGTCACCAAAATGAATGCTCCATAGTCCCTTCTTCATCTTTTTTATTTCTAGCTTCTAATTCAAAGTTTGAGAATTGAGAGTGGCCAGTCCTAGACATACACAGATTCCTATCTCCAGGGGAGGCCAAGAATTGGATAGTTGGCACCTTCCACTTTTGTAGTGATTGATGGGGTCTGCCTTTTACGAGTTGGGGAATTCCCAAATAGAAGAAATAACAATCAGGTGCTGAGCAGGCAAAAAAAAAAAAAAAATCATGACATTATCCTTACCTAACTTTAGGCTCAGCCGGGCACAGTGGTACACACCTGTAACCCCACCTGCTCAGGAGGCTGAGGCAGGAAGATTGCAAGTTGGAGGCCAGCAGCAACAATTTAGCCAGGGCCTCAAAAATTTAGTGAAACCCTCAGCAACTGGGTTGGGACCCTGTATCAAAATTTTAAAAGAAGGGTTGGGAATATAGCTCACCAGCACCCGATAGAGCCAAAATAAAACAAACTCTAAAAACCTCTAAACTTCTAAAACTTAGAAGCTCCACTCCCAACAACTGGGTTTCTCCTGGGACTGACTTCTACTTGGTGGGAGGGCAGAAACAAAGTGGGAGAAGAGGCAATTTCCCACTTTTCTGAATCCCTAGGCTCCAGACTTCATGGAGGAGGGAGGTTGTCTTGGAGGGACTCTTTGGGGCCATCTCTTATGCCTTGCAGCGCCAGGCCTGGGTTGTGGGAGGAAGAGCAGATAATCTCTTCCCGGCTTCCCCCACACATACTGTGAGTGAGCTGGAACGAACGTTTTCCTCAGACTTAAAAGAACAAAGCAGAGACTCCCAAGTCAGGTTTCCCCGTGCTCCTCCTCTAAGGTGGTTTTCTTTTGACCAAGCTGATCTGAATTCTGGAGAAGTYGGGAGGAACAGGCTGACTCTCGGTTTGAAGGGACCGATGTTCTGCAACACAACTGGGTGGAGCCCCAGGCTTCCTCCCGAGGGACAGAGCAAAGATGTGATGACTACAGGATGCCGGCCGAGAAGCCAGCACGCGTTTATTCTCCTCCTGATGTTTACGTGTCTGCTTTTTGGAAATGAATAAAATACAGCAAATCGACCAAGGAGTTTTCACTTTCATCTTGGGTTTCCTGGAGGATGGACCTGTGGCTGGACAGGTTGCCCAATCCAGGTCTCCACAGCTTTGGTTATGAAACCCTGAAGATGGTATCTTTGCCTCAGTTGAACCAGCTGTGAGCCATTCCCTTTCCTAACGGGAATGAGGGCCATTGACCGGAGCTCAGGAACCACCCTTCCCACACAGTAGAGAACTGCGTTCAAGGAGTGATTAATTTTGGTCCCTGCCACAGTAATCCCCTTTCTCTGGAACTGCCTCAAATTCCCCTTGAGTAGAAATCTAGAGCAGATTTCTCAACTAGAGCAACAGTTGACATTTTGTCATGAGGGTTACTCTGTGGATTTCGGAATGTTAAGCCGCATCCTTGACCTCTAGCCACTCGATGCCAGTAATACGTTCCTTTGTCCTTGCTCATGACCATCAGAATCGCCTCCRTGGGCTAAGATTGTAGCTCAGGGGTAGGAATCTTGTCTAGATGGTGTGACATCCTGGGTTCAATCCCCAGCATTGAAAAATAATTGTCTCCAGACATTTCCAAATGTTCCCTTGGTGGGCAAAATCTTTTCAATCTGAGAACTACTAACACAGAGATATGCTGGTCCCCTCGTAAGCTCTGAGTGGCCTGAGTACAGTTGTATATACCAGGAAGTAGATCTGTCAACAATCATACTTTGAAAGTGAACACCTGACCACTTAAACATGGCCTAAATCTGCCAATTTTTTCAAGGTTACCTAAATACCAGAATTACACAGGCAGCTCTTTAAAAATATGAGCGTAACTGGAGAACAACATGCTACGTGAAATAGCCTGCACTTGGAAAAGCAAGGCTCATTTTCTTTCAAACGTGGAAGCTAGAGATTGGGGAATAATAATAATAATAATAATAAAATGGGATCTCACAAAAATAAAAGGGAGACCAATAGGTAGAGGAAGGGTACCAAGAAGGAGGGAGGAGGGGTGGGCATGAGGAAGTACTAGAGAAAGACATCTACCAAATGATGCAATTTCCATGTAGGAATATGCCACAATGAATCCCATGTGTATATGGGAATATATAGGTAATTATAATGCATTAATTAAAATAATAATAATTACAGTGTAGAAGGGAGATCAGTAGAGAAAGTGGATCAGGGATCAGGGCGAGGGAGGTGGGAAGTTTCTGGGAAATGCAAATTGATCAAATTATGTTGTGTGCAGGTATCAATGTGGCATCATGAATCATACCATTGTGCATAATTACAATGCACCAATTAAAAAAAAAAAAACATACTCCTACTATGAAATCAATCTGTCGTCTCAATGCCCAAGACCAGTTCCGCCCAACAGCCACAAGAGGGTAGTGTGGCGATACACTCCGCCCTACCCAGAGTCCCCACCAGCTCCTCCTTTGCCTCTGACTGGCTGAAACTGTGACTAGATGCTCAACAGTTCTGACACTCACAGGCTGGAGAGAGAGTGGTCCCCTCCCTTCAGAGATAAGGTGGCCCATCGTGAATTGATGACAGGTTTTGACCACAGTCAACTGCAATATTTTAAAAATAGTTAAGTTCCTACTAAGCATCAGAGCTTGACACCCAGTGGGAGCTAAGAACATACACAATTAAAACAAACCCATAT